CCTTGTTAACTCTGGGGATAAACGACAGTCAACAAAGCCCAGTTGGAGTTGCTAAAGTGCGTCGTAAATCAGAGCTAAACGAGCATATCACAGGGCCAAAAAAAGCAGGTGTTTCAAAAGCGTTTCAGAAATGTGCTCTTGCAGACACCTCTGTTAAACCAACAGTGAAACAGAGAACTGTCATAATCCCTGGCTCAAGCTTCAGAGTGCCAGCAATAGAGCTACTGCACGGGTCCCTGGATGTCAACGCGTTCCTCCTCGAGCCTCTCCCTACCAGAGAGGATATGATTGACATTGTTATGATGTCGTCGTGTTTTGGTTGCCATGACGATGTGGGGTGACTGTGCAGAAGGGCCAGCTGAGTTGAGAGGGGACAGTGCCAGAGTAAACGATATGTCCCAACAAAACAATACACCGCTATAAACAGCAACCGATGGGGGAAGGAAGTGAGAAAGTGCGAGAGAGAGAGAGAGAGAGAGAGAGAGAGAGAGAGAGAGAGAGAGAGAGAGAGAGAGAAAGAGCGAGAGAGAGAGAGAGAGAGAGAAAGTGCGAGAGAGAGAGATAGAGAGAGAGAGAGAGAGAGAGAGAGAGAGAGAGAGAGAGAGAGAGAGAGAGACAGAGCAAAAGCAACTGCAAGTGCAACATAGCCAAAACCCTTGTAAAGTACTAAAACAGCTCTCTATTTAATTATAAAAAATGATATGTAGGCCTTTGGAGAAACTGAAAGTTTGATTTTGGAGACAGAAGCTGGACTTTGATATAAGAGTCTGAATCCAGTGCAACTTTATGAGGAGAAGTGTCTATAACTAACTTTACAGTCTGGTCTGGGAACATGATCCATCAGTTCAACGCCAGTTCTCGACACTGATATCATCAACAGAAGAATTTTCACACTCATGCTCCAGCACCCGATCTGCAATTTAACATCACATATGTTAATAAGTACTGTAGTACATATATAGAGAGAGTGATAAGGACATCTGTCCCCTTTGTCTCAACAAACTGACACACTGATGCATTCTGGAACTTTTACTAGGACTCTGCTTATTGAGGAGACACTGCATAGCAAATGCTAAAAAAAAAACTGTCATACTGTCTTACTGAATAGATGCCCAGACTTTGTATTGGGGGCCAAAGCGTAATGTTTGGATGGGCTGAAGTCCAAAAAGACAAAACAACTAGATAGCAACTCATCAGTTTTATGTTATCATGTGTTGTAAGGTTATGTGGAGAAACTGTATTCTTTAAATACTCTAGCAGCTTCTTTACATACAAGACACACGCCCCTGCCTTTAAAAAGATATTCTTTACAATGGAGGCCTCCAAATCTCCTCTTGTCCATGTACCACTGACTGTTATGCTCTATCAGCTTTTAACTGCTAGCTGCGTCGCTGGTAACTGTGGTGTTGCAGTCAATAACAATATTGCTGTTGTCGGAAGAAAACCTCGTATCTCCAAAATGCTAACTTTACAGTAAAAGGAAAAACCAACTTTATTTTTAATGTAAGTCAATGGAACCAGACTTTTTCCCAAGTAATGTTGGGCTGTTTCTTTTGGTTCAATCATTATGAAATTTATACACAAAGGTACTTTCAAATTATGTCAAAAACTGAAAAACGACAAAAATGGAGATACAAGCTTGTCTTCTGACAGCAGTGACATGTTTCCCTACTAAAAATAGACTCTTAAACGATGGTTCTTCTTCGGTAAAGAAAATGGTTCTATTTAGAATCATGAGTGCTACACAGAACCATTTTACGCTTAAATGGTTCCTTACATAGTGAAATGGTTGTTTAGATTGATGAAGAATGAATATAGCACCAATAAAGGTTTATTAGTGCCAAGCTTGTAACAACAGAAGAACCCTTTGTGGTGCTTTAGAGAACCACAAAGTTCTGTACAGAAACATATAAAACACATTCTCCATCAATCGGCAGAACCATTTCACCAGCGTGTACAAAATAAGAAGTGCATATTATCTGGTGCTGATCTGCCAGGCCACGTTCAGCTTCTGCTTGCATTGGGAGGATTTTTGCCTTCAGTAGGTGAAATGCATGTTAAGAAGTTTTCAGGTCAGATGGAGTTTGCCAGTCAAAATCACTCCAACTTTTGGACAAACTCCATAGATGCTTTATGAGCATGTTTCAGATGCTTCGGCACACTTCATAATTCATCCTGCTGCTGTTCTCTATAGTCATATCATAAGTAAAGAAAGATGAGCCAGTTCTACTGGCAGCTGTCCAGTTCTTTCTTCCTCTACATTTTCCTCATTCCATCTCTACAGTACAGATTAATCAGCTCATCTCTTCATAAGACTCTTTTCAGCAAACCTTGACGTTTCACTTCTGATCATGTTGGTGTTTTTTTGTCTTTTTCTTCTCCTGGATAGTGTTTGTGACCCGTTTAACAGTTTGCCCTTCACATCTGAAAGTGCTCTTCAGTAGGGCTGTAGTACTCAAGCCCGTCTCGAGACGTTTTTTGTTTTGTCCCAGACCTGTCTTGGTAGTCCTGTTCCACATAAATGGGATTTTTACTGAATTTCACAGCCTGGCTGGAATAACGGTGATGTTTAGTCTACTTTCATTCTAACTGACCGTTGCTAAATGTACTCTAAAGGCACACGTTTGCGCCCAGCTAGCTAGATAACAGTGCCTGAATATTTAATATATTGTTTAATATTTAAAAGTATAGTAGGAAGACTGGTGTTTACAGTAGCATGTTTCCAAAATTTGATTGCATGGCGCTGAACCTGACAGTAAAACATAGCAGAGAGGTGAACCCAAGTTTTCTCTATAAACTGTTTTGTATTCTCTTAAAAAGAAGAGGCAGATGATCAGAGTATGTAAAAGGACAGGAAGGGTTACTGGTCAGATGGGTGGCATTACTGATTGGTACAGTTTGTTTGACTTTCATTTTTGTCAGAAAAGAATCAGAAGATATCTTGATATAATTTTGATCACAAAACAAGGATTACTTAACATAGGCAAGTAAATTAACTGACTTAGTGAGGCCAAGACAGAAACTTATAAGCTGTTGTTTTTAATCACATTGTCACGATAGATATCATGATACAGGCATTGGTTCAGAGTGGGCACTAGTCGGATTTTTTTGAATGCCTGGTCTAGAGTGGCCATTGGGTGGACTTAGAGCAGGGAATGAATGAAAAATTTTCAATATGACATCTGTGTTTGTAAGCAGAAGAGTGGGTGTTTTATGATGATTTGAATTTGATGGAGTTATTTTTATATGTACTGGTTTGTTTGCAAAAAAGAATATCCTTTACAATTTTCAGTAACTTGTACTGGAAGGAGATAAAGACAAATTAACGTGCAGTCTTAAAGAGGACGCACTCTGTCCAGTCTGGACTAGTCATGGTTTTGGACTCAACAACTGCATCCCTATTCTATACAGATGTTAAAGCCATTTAGAGTGGTTTGATGTGCAATGAACCATTCTTGAGAGCGTTACAGAGTCATAACTGTTCATAGTGGAGGTAGGAACCAGACATCTGAAACAGTTAATATCCTCTAAAAGCTACCTCAGAAAAAGTTAAAATTAACTATGATGCCTAAAGCCTCTGACATTGTTTTGTGATAGTTCTGAGAAGTGATCTGGGTCTAAAACATTTTTTAAAAGCTTTTCATGGTACAATGCAGGGTGTGGAAAAACAATATGTAAAGAAAACTCACTTTTCTTGGTTTTATCACCGTTTTATAATCATCAACATGACACATAAGAACTCAGAAGATGTCTAGGTTCACTGTTCATTTTGAACAGTAAATAAAATGACTACATTTGCATTATAGACATTGTAACTCGTGGTTTCTATCACTACCACTGTAAAGAAATTTGAGTCTGTAAATGTCTCTACAATGTGCTATTTCACATCAAAACACTCTGAAAGACTTTGTTTACATCTCAGAAGAATTAACTATGCAGAAATATAGAAAAAAAATCAGCAGAATTCTCATTTAACTATGCACCAAAAATTTGACACTCCTAATGTTTTTGTTGTGACTAATTATTTATTTTAATTTTGATTTGACTGGACAGATTCCAGATGTAAATGCAACATGTAGGATCAACAGACCTTTTGTTAGCTCTGTTGTGCATTAACACATTAACTAACAATGCAACACACAGATGGGCAAGAAAATACAAAGCAACAATTTGTCCAATTACTTGTGGTCTCCTGGCCTAGGAAGTATGCATAGAAAGGGCTGTGTAGAATATACATTTCATCCAATGCAGATGTAAAAACTGATTTCACGGTCCTTGTCTGACAACACAAATGATGTTACTGTCCAATTACTTTTGCACTGCACCTAAATAAGTAGGATCTAGGTGCTGATCTTGTTGGTGGTTGAGTAGTAAAGCTAAAACAAAGCTTTATTTGTACTTCCAGAAGAAAAGACTATTTAAGATTGGAAGCAGCTTTATCTCAAACTTCCAAAAACATTATATGCAATTTGACCCTTTCAGTTCTTCGTTGCGCCACATTGATAAAATGATGTGGTTATATAGGCAAGTCATTTCATGTTGTTAGCTGGCATAAATACACAGAATGGCACTGAGCAGGTAAGCATTCAGGTTTCATGGTGCATGAACCCATGGTGGTGGCTCTTTAGTCTTGCATCATTACCTCGTTATAGAGAGCAGAAGAGTTGCACAACACCTTCCTACCGAAGCCACAGAGCTCCTCAATGTTGTGTGCAGCATGAATGAGGATTTTCACTCAACTCTTATCTGTCTCCCACTAAACTGCTGCCGAGCCTCCACCTTTCTGGAGAGGCATATTTTTGTTAGTGGCATGTTACCATGGTAACGAGGCAATGCTTGAGAAGGTATTTAAAAAAAATTTACATACCTTTTCACCACAGCTTACTTTGCCTTTGCCATGAATTCGCCTGTGTGACTTCAGAAATGATTGACCTTTGCGAGAAGCTCTTAAGCTGTTGTCTAATCCATCTATCATCCAGAGCAGAAAACAGGCTGGGTGCTGAGTGTGCGAGGGTATGACAAGCTCCAGCTTTTATTGAAGGTGGGAGAAGTAGAAAAAACATTAAGTGGCTTAAAAGATTCAACATATCACAGTGCTGTACAAGAAAGTGGATTCTGCATCGACGTTCTTTTAGACAACACAAAACAAGCAGTCACCTGGACAACAAATTCATGTCTTCTGCTGAGATTATTAAAGCGGTTTTCTTAAAGATATTCTTCAAACGTCTAGAAAATGTCAATAATAATCTGTAGACAAGATGTAGTTCTCTGGCAGTTTAAAAAAAGCAAATACTGTGCACTTTGAGGCCTGCAATAGATCCAGACACTTAGAGAGTGTAGGCGCAAAGAAATATTGAACGTGGCCTACTGCCAAAGGAATGAGTGTAATTTTTTTTAAGTAACTGTTAAAGAGGATAAAAAACATGTTATGCATGAATAAAGCAGACAATTCATTTAAATAAACGTAACGTCTGGTAGTGATGAACAGATATGTAGGATAAAAATAAACACTGGGCTTACTTACAAAGCAACAGTCAGTCTGGTAAAGACTGTACATAGTATATGAGCTTTGGCATTCAATATGAATAAATAGTTGATAAAAAACAGTAGTGATAAATAAAATGATAAAAAATGCAATTGTGCAATGCTACAGAGAAGTTATAGCAAAATGTATTGAAATAAATGAAATGCTAAATTTCTCAAAAGATGCAAATCCAAGTCCACTGGACTCTATAGTGTCCAAATGCCTACATTCAGTGGTGTTTGCATAGGTTATCTGAGGCTTTTGGCGCTACATCTGAGACTGTAGTGGATTCTTTATTCCAGAAGTAGCTTGTCGGTCTAGTCAGTTTTTGAATTTCCAGAGCATTCGGGGCTAAGCTTACTAAAGTCCCCTCCCCAGGAGAGGCATGATTTGGGAGTTAGTGTTCTCACGCCAGTGGGGTGCTAGCTCTGGAGCTGGGCCTGTGCTCCTCCACGCTCCTCTTCTTGCTTGTGTGCTTGCGTTTCCCTGAAGAACTCGGCAGATCATCCGCTCTGGCGCCCTCTAAAGATATGGCTGCCTCTCCACTCCCTTGGCTGACGAACACGGAGGGATTCTGGGACGCCATTTCGAACCGCTGCTCTGCAGCCTTCCGAGCTGCAGCCTTCCTCTTGGTCCTGGGCTGGGGAGAGGGCAGGGGCTGGGCAGCTGTGGGAGGAGGCAAAGCACGTTGGGTAGAGGAGGAATGGGCAGCAGTAGCAACAGAGATGGGTGTCGGTGCCCCCGCCAGTGTGGCAGTGCCCAGTCGCGCCAGAGCTACAGGAATCTCCTCCAGAGACTCTGCGGAATCAGAATGGTATTCAGCTGGGGGGCCGGCGGCCTGCACGGGAGCCAGGGGGGGCAGGGTCACTCGCAGGGGGAACGCTGGGAATGGGAGGCGCTGGCTTAGGGATGAGGACAGGGTGGCAGCAGCTACAGAGGAGTCTATGGCACAGAACACACAAGGGCACAGGGTACACAGGTCACCACAGACAATAAAACACACAAACTACTCTACAGAAATATGTAATACTTATGAACTTTATTAAAGGAACAGTTTGGGGGGAAAAAATCCTTTAGCCCAAATGTAGTCAATCAACAAAGACATGTTTGATGTCTAAAGTCTGCTTCTTAACTTTGTGCTGGAGCAAAGGCTAATGTAGCTAAATAGAGATGCACAGATCTGACTTCTTAATCTCTATTCACATCCTGTATCAACTTCAATATTTGAACTCAATACAGAGTACTAAGCCGGTAACTGTAACAACATTATAATGTGCTGTCAATTAAAGATTTAAATGGAAAACATGATATATCTATTTGAAGACATTTTGGCAATTAAACAATTTTCAAAATGAGGCATATTGGACAAGCATTTCATATTCATCCATATTCTGATTTATTTTAGTGTTACAAAGCCTCACTACAGACATCTTAACTATCACCTGATCATCTCCTAATCACCCAAGTTTTAAGTTTTAAATTGATGTAAAATATTGCTTTAGTTCATCTGGACCAAAAGTTGCTGTGCATCGTTTCATTCAAAGTATCTGAGTTGAATAAAATCTGTTGAAATGCTTGTTAGCACATGAAGTAATTGAAGTAATGAGCTGAAAAATCTTCTTTGTGAATTCTATCAGAGTAAAGTGAGAGAGAGGGGCTAATGTTATGCATGCCCTCATACTCAAATAACTTGGCTTTTTTATAGATCAGAAATAAATTGTAGGGGTTTTGATTTTAAGCATTTAATTTTGTAAGAGGACAGTGCAGCAGGCATTGACAAACTTCTACTGGAGAAAAATCGAAATGACTTGTGACCTCAGAATTGAAAACTGTATTGAACCTGAAAATATGTGCATTGTTATGCCCCTAGTGTGCATGCATATAGCCGTGTGCACGATGCAAACATTACCATATTACCACATTAATATAAGGCACATATTCTTGCACTATTTATTTTTGCTATATTGAAAAATGCATTACTCTTGACCACCACAGTGTAGCACTATATCAAATTTTGCATATCGTTACACCCCTACCGTGCATGGAGATGGTTAGATCCCAGCTTTCACTCAGGAATCAGAATCACCACTGTAACATACCACTAAGATTCTAATAAAGCAAGACTCCTAACATTACATCGCCTGCTACTGTAAAGCACTCTAGAAAAAAAGCTTTAATTAAATAAGCAAAGATAGAACCTGTTTTAAATGTTATGTTTACTTCAGAAAAAAAGCATATGCTATAGGTGTAAATGTAAGGACAATTTTTTTTTAATGTTTTGTCTACTTCACAGTTCTGTTTTTCTTCAATAAAAAGACTGAAGTGAGAAGAAAAATGTGCAGACATCCTTTAACTGAGTGATTCAAAAAAAATTCATCCGATTCAAAGCGCTGTATTTTTACAACTGTGAGGCGCCTAGGAACCAATCACATACCAATTGAAAGAGGGGGTCATAGAGTTTCTGACTGTGATCGGAAGATGGCTCCCTTCAGTCTGCGAGGAGATGGCGACCCCACAAATCTTTAAATATCACAATAGCATCGTGCATCGTACACAGCTTTATATTGTGTAGCCTGCAGCTTTTCCCACCCCTAGTTTTATCTGTAAGAAGTATTTATATTATGTAGCAGCCACTTTAAAGCTTGAATTTGTACAGACTTTTGTGCAACTGAGTGCAGTTTGGGGCAAGTTCTCCCGTTAGCAGAGATGGAATTAGTTCAAGCCAGCAGCAGAGGTGTCCAGAACAAAACGGACTTGTAACTCCCGTGCAAAACTAAGAAGCACACATGGAATACCAAACATTTCTTAGCAGGCTGAATACATTTGGGGGAAAGGGAAAAGATTATAAATTTAATTTTTCGCTAAATGATTTCTTTAAAGTTAATACAACACTACTGATAAGATTATAAAAAATGTGCTTGAACACATTAATAGAGAAGTATGAGAAAATCAGAAATAGCTTATTGTGATTTGAATTGGAGGGATCATGACTGAACTCCAGGATTAATGTGTGTAATACTGAGCACATACACACCTATAAAACAACTATGTGACTAGGAGCAACAGTGTGGATGGCTCACATGAAAAACAATGCCACGATCATAGCTATGCAAACAGTATACCTTAGTGTTCAAACATCATAAATCAAGGAACATAAGAGAACTACTAACAGTACAAATGCTTGCAGACTAGATATGCAGAAGGTGGAGATGGAACATTATCTGCCTAAAGTGCTATCGTTTTGCACTGGAACACAGTTAAGCAAATACAATATTAGAATGTTTCAACTGCTTTCTAATTATATAATTACAATCCCATAGCTATTAAGCTCCAACACTCAACAGGACAAATGTGAAAGAACTGACTCCAAGACTGAACTGGGAAACAAAAGGTGGTACTCTAGTTTAGCTGGGATCTAGCTGGGAACACTACTAGAAGTCTTTGTGCACAGAGTGGCCTACATTTCTCAAGCACGTCCATGAATGAAACATGAAAGAACTGACAGTCCATCAACACTGCCAGGTGTGATAAATATGTGCCAGCATGTCTTTAAAAGTTAGAATCTGGCTGTTAGCTTTTCTCCGTAGGTGTGGTGATGTGTGTTTGGACATTATCTTACACAAGAAACAAGGCAGTTATTGAGGAGCCAAAGCTGCAGTGATGACTAAATTATGTGTAAACAAATCTAGTTCAAATAAAGCAAAGAGCGTCACTTCACTGTCACTACGGCAGCCCTGCCGTTTAAGGTTATTTAAGAATAAACACTGTAGCTGTTCTCAAAACCTGCTTTTCTGTGTGTCTTGTGCATCTCACCCTGCTCAGCAGAATGGTGTGCAATGGCTCTGCTGGTGCCCATCTCAGTGGCTCGGTCATTTATCACTTCTGCTGGAACTTTACGCACTTTTTTCTTTTTCTTCTACATAAAACCAAAAAAAGAGAGACAAAAAAAGAGCAGAGTTTAGTGTGGATTAAAAAAAGCTTCTCAGCACAGGATTAAAATCAAATTCCTGTTTTGTTTACTATGACTTTATACTGATGGTAACATAACATCAGGAATCCCACACTAAAAGGCTCCATGAATATGGGCCCTGACCTTCATTTGAGTCATAATAATTAATACAGTCTTGTTTGCAAATACGCAGAAATGCACAAAATTCCAAAAACGGTTCCCTGACTTTTCAACTGTGAGTTTGTTACCAGATATGGGACAAGGCAAACTTCCAGTGTACCAGTAGTGTATGTGTTCAAGAACTTTGTTTCTTGAGGTGGTAGTTCACGTGTTTGGGACACCTTATGTCTAACCTGGGTGTTTTTGAGTGGGCGAGGTGCTGGTTTCTGTTCTGTGGAGATGGAAGGGAGCAGCTCCTCTTCAACCATTCTCTCTGGTGAACTTCTGACCTTGCCGTTACCAAGCAACCTGCACAGACAATCACACAAGTATAGCACATAAAAATATGCTAATTTGCTGAAAATACATATGTGGGTGTGATACTATGATATTCCTTTTAAGTGATTGCTGACCCAAGGTCTTTTTGCACCTCTACACATACTGAAACAACTATAACTGCACTCTCCAGAAAACCAAGTCAAAACATTTTACCCATCTGCAGGGTAAAGTCTGATATAGGACTGAACAATGAATTATTTTTTTTAATAACAATGGCTATTTGAGAAAGCACAAATCCTTTTCACCCAAATAAAAGGCCTGGACCTTAATTCATGGAAAACAATCACACTGAAATCTCAATACTGGCCAGAAAAATCACAAATGTAATGATGCACTCAAGCCAGATCAACTCTATGCATGATACTGGGTTCATGATTTGGTAATCTTACTATAGTTTTAACCAAATTTTAATGAAGAAAATCATGACTGTTTGCTAACAACACTAGAGCTGGGAGGCTGGAAGGAGTTGTTGATTGGTGATGACTGACTGTTTGGAGTTTAAACTGTACAATTTCATTAGATGGTATAATTAACAGGACGTCCACTTTTCCATTACAGAATCACCAAGTCGCCATGCACTGTACCACCCCTAACATTAATTTATTCCTTCCTCCCAATGTAATGGGTTGAACTACTCGGAAGCACTTGTAAACTGAAAACGTTAAGTGACCGGTGTTTATTTCCCAGGACATAAACGACAAAGACAAAGAACTAGAACTTGTCCTTAATTCTGCAGAATCACTACAGTCACCTCCCAACAACAATCATAGGAAGCTCTTAAGCATCTAACCCCACTGCATACCCTTGCTTGGACAGAAGAAACATGGCACCAACAGATCAAGTGGCCTGCAAACACACAGACACAAAGCTTCCTTTACAAGTCACACTACACTGTCCTGTGCAGCTGCCAGGTGATCTCGTCTGATCAGTGATAGCCCTGGAATGATAAGTGCAATGATAATGCTCTCTGTCTCTCTTGAACTGACCTTACTTGCTGTAGAGTCAGCAAAAGTTTAAACAGGTTTCAGATTATTCCTAGTAACACTGGAACAGCAAAGTATTATTTGTAGCCATCATCTAATACCTGGCTTGGTTAAATCAATGCTTCATTATGTCAAATCAGGTGTGATGGTAATAGAAAAAAAAAGGGGACTGTTTGGGTCATCCAGGAGACATCTGTCACCTTTATTCTTCAAAGTAGCTCACAGGATATCAACTACTTTTTTGAAAATGAAAGTATGTTTTTTGCATATATTTTGCATAAGATAAATGTAAACAAACAAACACTGTCATTACCAAGATGCCAATTTTAAACAATGTGCTTAGGTGTCTAGACATTTGCACAGTACTGTACATTATATGCACAGCTGACATATAATAGAGTGATTCAAAAAGATTCATCCGATTTCAAAGTGCCATATTTTTACAACGGTGAGGCACCTAGGAACCAATCACATACCATCTGAAGGAGGGGGTCAGAGAGTTTCTGACTGTCAGTATAGCAGTGAACCTTCATGGTCATGGGTACCAACAGTTCCAAGAAAAAGGTCACCAGCATCACCAGATCTCACGCTGTGTGACTTTTTTTGTAGGGGTAAGTTAAGGATTCTGTTTATGTGCAACCATTCCCAACAAGACTGGATGAACTCCAAAATTGTATTGAAAGAGCCGTGAGTACAGCGACACCCGACATGCTCAACTGAGTATGGGAAGAATTTGACTATCACATTAATGTTGTCTGTACAGCTGGAGGAGGTTCATATTGAGCACTTACAAAATTACATAAACTTTATGCTCACTTAAACCATTTACAATTTACTGCATCATTCTATAATGATGTACAGGTGAAATAAATAATTTTAAAATCAGCTGAATCTTTTTGAATCACGCTGTGTATGTATATGCAGAAAGGAAAAAAAAAAAACTTCTTTTTCAAGAGTTCTAAAACATAAATAACTAAATACATAAATAAAACCAGAGCCCAGCAACAACTAAACAGGCTGAACTACTAAAAATAAACTCCTTAAATCCAAACAGCACACAGAAAGAACACCGAACTCTGTGTAACTCTTTAATTGTTTTGACCTTTTACATTTAATGACTGCTACAGTTGAGGTCACCGGCAGTGGCTCTAAACATGTTTTTCTTCTTCTTCTTTTAATACGCTGCATGTCATGAAAGTCATGGGAAAAGAATCTGATTTTGCGCTTTCTGTTTTCGTAAAGAAAACAGTCACCATGACAGCACAATGAAAGCCCCGTTTGTCACTGCTGAGATTACTATTTAACGTTCACTTTTATTTCTAACTCCGTATGAAATGTGTATTTACCGGCTTCCATAGACAACTATTCAGAAACGGATCAAGCCAAATTATGAGCCTAGGGGTCTGAAAATGTTTCTTGCCTCTAAAAACAAACAGATGCTAAATATACAAGGCCAAACTACAATGTGTCTGTACAGAGAGCCTTGCAACATTTGAATTAACAACAAAGAGGCCACATCCGCTTCTGTGTTTTCCTTTCTACATGGGCAAAAGAAGGACTAACAGATGTAAAAATGCACATGGAATCCTAATATGCACATCACTGGCAATAACGTATTAACCAAAATCAAGTCACACCCCCAGTCATCACCACCCTCCAAAGTCTGTGGATCGTATCTTCGCACGTTTTAACAGCCTAATAAAAGCTTTTATGTCTCTGCTCCTAGGTTCCACTGAAATAACACAGGACCTGAATGAGGTACTTAATAGCATAATGGCTCAATACAATAAAATGACATTACTTGCACTTTTATAAGTCATTGTTAAAAAAAGAAATCAATAGGCCACTAAGCCCTAGTTCTTTCAGCAGGGTGTTGGAAGGATTCAAGCCAGCTTCGCTTAATCTGGTCGATTTGGGAGAGCTGAACTCATTCAGTGAGAATAATGGCAAAAGGCTTGTAAAATGTGAGAAGCTGGGCAGCGGTGCCTTGTGAATAATATTTGTCACTGTACCCACTGTGTATTTATAGAACAATGCCCCATCACTGCATTTCACCCTTTCATTTTTCTCTTTTCATTCACATACAGAACACTAAAACAAAAAAAAAAAAAAGAGAGCCCTTAAATCTGCCACTGCAATGCATAATACATACTGAACCTCTTCCCGTACAACTTGTTTTTGGCGCTTGTGGAAATAATACCAAAAAACACATTAAGAGCACTGTAATTGCTAGGCTTGGGAGCAGTGCTGCCTAAGCCTATTTAGAAACAAATGAAGTCTGTGTGTTTTGTTTTGTTGGATCTGGATGGTAGGGATGAGGAAGAAACGTCCTGTCCTGACTTACTCATGTCTGCCTCGTGAGCTCATGGTAGTAGGATCCTCCACCTCCATCTCTGGATTGGTGTAGCCTAGAGTGCCTGAGTAGCTCACGTCCTGAGAAAGTAAGAAAGGAAGGAAGAAAAAGAAAGAAAGAAAGAAAGAAAGAAAGAAAGAAAAAAAAAGAAAGACACATGCACATCAGACATGCTCTACTGCTGTTCAAACTAGAGTTAGAATATAAATTACTGAAAACGCAAGTGAATGATACAAGTATGCAAGAAAAAGAAACAATTCTGTTCCAATATTTAGTGACATAACATAACGAGATGACAATTTGCACAACATTATTTGTTCGTAACTAAAATACTAAGGTGTTAAACAACCTAATCTGTGGAAATACAAGTGTCATGCTGCTGACGCAACAACAACAATAAATAAATAATAATTTAAAAAAATATATATGGCAACACAACAGAACACCAGCATCCTATCCACCTTATTCCTGCGCCCCATGATGCTTCTGAGTGGCTTATGGACAGAACTTATACCAAAGCATAAACAGACAATATACTGAATGCTAACAACATCAAACCATGATAGAAATGTGTTCATAAATAAAAATTCAAATAATGTTTATTATTGGGATGCTTGAATAATTAACATTATTTGAAATTTTATTTAAATTATGTTTATTATTGGGATGCTTGAATACTTTTGTGCTGATGTTTACAATGAACCTGAGAAAACTATTTATAGCCAACATAAATTACTTACGCTAGTAAAAAGCTTTTTTCATTTTATATTTAATTTTGTTTACACTGTCAGGTACAGGCAAACATATAAAGCAATGTTATTACATATAAATGTTTAATGGGCACAGATTGCAACATTAACAACTTGGCTTTTTTAAGCAGTGATTATGAAGACCCATTCATGCGTATCTTCCGAAGAACTACACTTTCTTGAGAGGTTTACGCTCATAACAATCCTATACTTGTCATATTTCCGTTACACTCGGCTGTAGTGACTGCTGCAAACTGCATGTTGTTCCACAAACACCTCAGAGACATTTAATGGGACATGAAACAGTAGCTTAACAAGTGAGCACAAATCCCTTGATTTAGCTAAAACAACAATAAACAACACTTCCAATCCACAACCAGATCAGCCATAATCTCAAATTCCAGTCGTCACGTGAAAGCAGAGGTGAATAGCACTTGTGTTCAGAAGATGCTGAGGACTGATGAACAGCATAGTTTTTATCTATTATTTAGCTTGGATCAGCGCTTGTTATTTTACTACAGTAATACTCTGCAAGATCTGTACCCTTTTATTGGAAATTAATACTTGTAATATTACTCAATTACATTTTTAAGATGAAAAATATTTTCACTTAGACCTCCAATGTACTTGTTACAAATCTGAAAAGTCAGGGAATTGATAGTTTTTCTTAAAAAATCCATCCAAATTTAACTGTAAAATATGCCCATGAATATGGTGATTTGTTACATCCCTGACCAGTCGCCACATCATCAAAAAACAGCAAAATTTGTTAAAACATTTATTTTTACCTTTATACACTTGAGTATTTCTCTAGTAAGATTTTGACTCATATGTTTACTCAAACTTTCACTTTAGTAGAATTTCTCTGTATCTACCCTCTATTGCTACAGAACACCAACGTTCACAAACCACCAGCACCAATAAACAACTTGTTCCAGCATGTTCATTAGCAAGCTGTGCAACAATTTTGTTCAAAATATCGGGAGAATATCGAATTGTGAACCCAGTATTGAGAATCGAATTGCAAGCGAATCATGACATCCCTACAGTGTACCCTGCAGACCCCTATAACCAATCAACCAAAGTAAGAAGAACAGGCTAAGCACTGTTTTGCTGTCCTTGAAGACTGTGCTGGAATGACAGTGTGGTCACTGGGGTGTGCCATGTCCTATCAGTGACAAAAATCTGACCATAACAACACAAACCACCAGTGCAAACCACCATGCTGTTTGCACTGGTGGTTTGTGTTGTTATGGTCAGATTTTTGTCACTGATAGGACATGGCACACCCCAGTGACCACACTGTCATTCCAGCACAGCCTGGAGAAGGGACAGGGCCCAGAGCCCACCTACAAGTCTGGCAAACCTTAGTCAGCAAAGTAGTCTTAAAATCTGCAGTCTCAAAGCTCCAGTGTACAGTATGCAGAGTTTAAATGCATCACCATGCTGGCTGCACATGCCTGTGAATCTGTATGTTGTGTATTCACAATAACGTGTGCACTGAATGTGTTGTGCGTGTGTATATACAGTGACAGCCTGGAAGGTGACTGTGAAGCCCAGCCCCACACAACAATCTGCTCAGTGCTCTTAAATAGTTTCAAAGAATGATGAAGTCACCGACACACCCACCCACACCACCCTTCTCTCACAGACATGTCAGATACTCTACCAGGGCTTTTTACGTAACAACTTTTGCCACATACTTACTAAACGCACAAGCTGCAAGAAAGCTTTACTAGAAGCAGGCGCTTCTAAATAACTTTATTTCATACAAAAATACAAACTATACATGATAAATAATACACTGTAATTGTTATTACATTATTTTTGTTATCTGCTTTGAGCTTTGATCTAAACTTTTGAAATATGATGAATTCTGGTTATTAATTTTATTATAATTTCAATCTCAATGCTATCCGGCTTTCTCAGAAGTTTAAAATATTTACAGCTCCATTCATCACTTAAAAGTGTGGAACAAGGACATTAGAATCCAACTGTTTGCAACCAAACTGGTTTTATATTACTGGAAACAACAATTCTAAACTTTTAAACAGTGATGTGAAACTTTTGAACACTAATGTATATTTTTATTTTGGTAGTTAGGGTTGAACAATTTTTGAAAAACTTCCAATTGCAATTTTGTTTGGACTAATATTCTAACCGTGAATTAAATTATCATATCACTACTGTCGGAACAAAAACTTTTATCTCCAAAATGGTAACTTTAAAAAAACATATTTACTTTTAATTTAAGTCAATGGAACCAGACTTTTTTCCAAGTAATTTTGGACCACTCTTTTGGTCCATTCAATATGAAATTTACACACAATGTAAAGGGAAACAGGCATTTTCAAATTATGTCAGAAACTGAAAAACAATGAACAGTCTACAGGTAGTTCAAAAGCTCCATGTTCTTAGGTTAAAATCCTGCACTTAAAATATGTAGGCTATACTTAAAATTGCTACCCTTGCTCTTTAAAAAATTGAACACCCTTTAAACTGCAATGTCGACACAAACAATTAATCTTTCTCCTGGTAATTCATGGACGTGCTGCATTTTCCTAGTAAACAAGTTCTTATCAAGATTCAAATGAACAAACTGCTCTTTCAGCTGCTGCTATTTTCTGTATTAACATGCATCACCTTTTTGCAGCTTTCAAGCAAACGTGTCTACATCACATCTCTCTTGTTGCCCTAAAGGTAACTTTCCAAGAGTCACACTGTCCTTCGAACACACCACTGCCCTCTAAAACAGGAAGTGACTTAATGGCGTGTGTGCTCATTTCCCATGGTCTGGCGAGACCTCAATGTGCCGCCCATGTGAGATTTTCACTGCCGCTTGGCACAGATATTTTTCTGAGACAGTGCTAATTGCTCGCCAGCAATGCTGTCTCCCAGGCATGACAAATCAAAACAATCAGGTTGCCACAGGCAACACACCCCACCCCCAGGCAATAGAGTCCATGGGCAACACATGATTCTGTATTTAATTCAGCTTCACAGGGCAATGATCTGCACTATAAAGACTGGTTTCACCTTAGTGTCGTCATTCCATTTTGGCCTTTATAAGTGCAAAAGCTTCAGTCACAGCCCTGAACAATAACGCAATCAGCACTATGTATCCGTTTCAATAGGTCTGGTTTGAGGTTTGGTGTAACAGGTTCTGATTAATCATTTAAATGGCTGAACACAGTCGAGCCAGTCTGTAATGAAGACAGGCTCCAAACTTCTCACTTCCCAGCTGCAACATACTAACAGGTCAGAGCGAGATTCTCTCACTGAGAGTGAAAATACAGCGGTATATGTTCAAACTTGCCAATCAATCAATAAATAAACAGGTTTAATCTGACTGGGCCTGTGCATATGAACAGGCCTTGAACATTCTCATTAGACAAGAAAATACGCTAGTATTTGTTTCCACACTAGCCTCTAAACAATTACACAAACAGATCAGATTAGGTCTGCCTGAGCCTGTGCATGTAAACAGCCCTTTAGCATTCTCCATACAAATGAACATAATAAATAAATAAACAAATAAGCAAGCAAGCAAGGAGGTAAGCAGGCTATGTTTAATTTGACTAGATCTGTGTTTGTAAACAGACTTTGAGTTTTCTCACCACAAATGTAAACACACCAGTTCCTTTTTTAAATTAGCCTTTAAACAAACAAACAAACAAACAAACAAATAAATGAATGCATGAATAGGCTAGGTTAAATATGACTGGATCTGTGCATGTAACAGGCCTTGATCATCCTCACTATAAATAAGAATACACTAGTATATTTTCAAACTAGCCTCTACATAAATAAATACATAGTCTAGTTAAATCTGACTGGACCTGTGCATGTAATATACATAAACAGCCCTTCAGTGTTTAAACATCAGCATCATTACACTGTGGCCTGTGTGTGCATGTTTACCTTGATGAGATTCATCTTGGGAACTCCAGGCTCATTCCCTAAAGGGCCCTTATTGGTGTCCCTTGTCTCCTGTCGATGCCTCTGTCGAACGATATACTCATATGTACTCAGCCTGTTCCACACTGATAGAGGGAGAAGAAAGAGATGAGCTCAATATTCTATTCACTGCCTTCAATCCTAAACCTTAAGAGATTATGAGATGGTGTAACCCTAAGATTTACCTGGCTGTGTATAAGATGATTTCTCCAGTGAGTAAAATACCCTCTTGGGTAACTTTCCTCACAATTATTCTGGGTTCTACTAGAATATAGTAGAAATACTGCATTTAAAGTTTTGAACCGCTCCCTCGCCCCCTAGTGGCATATATGGTCACTCACAGCATATTACTCCAACCACTTTATAGCAATAGGACCTAATACTTGTCTCCTAGCACCAAATATTTCCAAATATAACACATTAAGTTTCTGCCCCAAGAATATAATGGAATGGATGAAGCTCAATTTGTTCCAAAAGCAAGAAAACCTGAAGCCCATCTGTTTTGTACTTTACATCAGAGTCAGCACTTAAATATAGCTTAGCTTGATATTGATGGAAAGATCATCTCTCTCTCTCTCTCTCTCTCTCCTCTCTCTCTCTCTAATACAATCCAAAGTTCGACCACCACATAAGTAACATATAAACCTTTGTTTTTTCAAATCTTGTTTTTGCTTTAAATAAGATTTAACTGTACATTATGGCTGTATTATCTGGCCTCATAGGCATGGTGAGCAGTTTAATGGAAATCGTGCTATAAATAAGTAAGTGAATTATGATAATCACTGTTATTATGACTCAGTGCCAAGCATTTAAAAAGCCTTCAAGCTCATGAGAACGGTCTCCAGTTTACTCTAGAGTGCATCACAACGAGCCAATTAGCAAACGGTCAGCCCTGGAAACGCTGCCTAAATATGGCACAGGTGAATCTTCATGCTTAGGTCTCACTCATCTAATGAGAATGAATATTACTGAGCAAACGCCTGTATTACTGTGTCAGCTAAACCAGTCTCTAAACATTAGACCAGGGTTTGTTTTCTTTAGCTTTCATGTATTAAAGCTGGGAAGACAGATAAAAAGACCAAAGGTCTTCAAAACGGGGATTTTTCTTACAAAAACACAAGCATGAAAATGGTGGTAATGGAGAGCCACCCTTAACATGCAATTCAGTTAGAACAGGACTGCATCTTCGCCCAGTGTGGCTTAAGGAGATGAACCTATTCTTGCTTGTGCCACTGCGTAGCCATAGCAACCGGTGCTGGCACCAAGTTAGCTGATTCAGCTTCAGCTGAACGGCATTCAACAGCATACGGCAGAAAAATCAATCAAGCTGGTTTCCAATCACTGGATCTCACTGAGCCCCTCTCATATAAGACATACATGTGGTGTTAAGGCTAAAATCCAGCTGCTGGTTTGTAATGCTGAGTCAGGGTTTCAGGGGGATAAATCACCTCCCATGAGGACAGATGTGCCACATCAAATTAGCCTCTCAATTTGCTACAGTTTTTTGTTTAGTACATTATACATGTGATTTTATTGTCACACATAAGAGAGACATCTTTCCAATTTACTCTCCCAAATTCCGCACATTGTATGTATTTATGCACCTAACTGTTTTATGTTCTTTGCATCTTAAATGCCATTTGTTCTATGTACTTACATTAGGGAAAAATCTCATGTACCTCTGTGCATCTTAAAGAAACAATTTTAACCATTGCTACATCGATTGTAAACATGCTTACTTGTTTAAAAACTACTAAACCCCCCTCCTGAAGGTGTATCTTGAAGGTGGGAGAAATGTTTTAAATACAACAACTGCTTCAAGGTGGATTTTGTGTGTGTGTGTATGTGTGTGTGGTGGGGGTGCGTTCTATTTTTTATTTTTATTTTTGTTTATATTTTTTTCTTTAACTGGCGAAGGCAGAACGAAGCCAGACAGCTAATGTTACTGTTAGGAAGCAGAACATCTTATTGCAGCCATATAATTGTAGTAACTGTGGTTAAATCTTTACTAACTGGCCTGTCAGATAAGGGGAACAACAAGCTAAAAGCCAAAGTTAGCAATGTACCTGGCTATCTAGATGACTTAACTCAGTTTGACTTCTTTACTGGCAGAAAAAGGTAAAAACTTGCCTTTGATGTCAATTTTGGTCCAAATAAAGATCACTTTTTTCTTTATGATTTTGTTTGACAACTGAGGTAATGTAACAGTAACTTGGTTGTATTTACTAGCCTATAGATAAGTGGCTACAGGGATTTCCAATGGCTATATGGTGTATTTGTGCAATGCATGCTAAGAACTGTAGTGAGAAAACATTGATGACTAAAAGCATTAAGATGACAGAAATTCATAAATTCTGTCACAGATTTAGCTACAGACAATGCCGTGCTAGAGGTGTGATACCCAATCCAAGAGGCAAAACATCGGGTTCAGAACGATTTTTCATGTGCACCATAGGGCTTAAGTTTGTTTCCTAATGATTGATTTTTTATGCAGCAGATTTTACACCTTTCCTCTATTGCGTTTTCACTCTGCGTCTGCGATTATCTATCTCCGTTAATGCATGTGAGCGGTTTTGGGTCAGGTGCGGGCATCAAATTTTGCATTTCCAGTCGGACTTGGTCAGATCTGGTTTCAAACCCACAGGTTAGGAGCGAGTTTAGGGTTCAATTTAATACCCTGTGCTTAAGAATACTGCATAACATGACAAACTCCAGTTTTGACCAGAATGCAAAAACAAATTCAGCGTCAAAACAGGATTCAATGTCATATTTTCTATGCACTTAGACCAAAAAAATAATAATAATAATAAAATAATAATAATCCAATGCATATACGTGCATCTAGAGATCATACTGGGGAACAAAATGTTTTTCTAATTTAGATTTTGCTATTCTAATGCAAAAATGTCCACAACTCACATTATCAAAGGGCAGAACTTTACTCATAGTTAACTATTAGACTACAAGGATGCTCCATAAGTAGTGCACATTCACAAAAGTGGGACAGAAAAGCAAGCACCCTACAAGTGTTATCACTATATGTTGTAAATACATTCTATGTAAAGGCACATAATGCAGAAGAGTGCACTCACTGAGGTAGATGTGGAAGCAAAGCAAATGGCCAAGCAGCAGACTGGAGAGTAGCCCCAAAGCTATGGTCACTCCTGCCAGGGCAGGGATGGCTGGACCTGCAGTAGACACTGGAGCCACCGGCAGGAATACAAACCATACCACAGATTCATTCTTCACTACAGACAGGAAACAGAACGGAGGGAAAGGTGTAAGATAACTTGTATTGGCAAAAGCTTGGAAAAAGCTTTGAATGTACCTCCTCTGTTCTCATTAATGAGCAAGTCACTTCCTACATGTATTGCAGTGCAATGCTAAAAATAGTCTCTTACCTTGCTGAAAGTGTTTGTCGGATCGAAGTTTTGACGGATCCAAAAAGAACTCAATAAAAACGTAACTTGCAATGATCACAACTAAAAATATACCCAGCAGAGCTGATATGACACTGTTCAGGAAAAGCCTGCAACGAAAAACAACAGTAAAGACTTACAAACTGATTCATTAAAGAAGACGGCATCAGTTTAAGTAAAGCCAATAATGAAACTACTGCCTAAAACAGCTGCATCACTGCACAGGAACTGCATGTACGAACCATGTGCTACCAGCAGCAGTACACTGTCTACTGACATGAGCTTGACAATAAAGATTACTCTGATCAGTACAGTGACTATTTTCTGTGATTAAAAGCAATGTAGAAACACCCATGATTCATCAGTATCACACTCAACAAGGATATCTGGGATTCATTAGAGCCAATTCTTGCTACTAAAAGGAATGCATTCTTTGGCAAATAACTCCCTGTGGATGTCAAAATTAAGACTTCAATTGTTTCAGTTCTGATTTTGGCTATGCATAAGAGAAACACTTTTCCCAATGCTTTATTATGTTGTGCTGAACCGTAGAAAACATGCCAAGCCAACAAGGCGTGATGGAAAACCATCTGTTCTGACCTAGTTTAAGAATCAGAACATACTGCATATTCATTATTCACATCACATTTATTCAAAATAAGAGTCCTCTTAGGAGCGAAGAAGTCTTACCAGTAGTTTCTGCTGCCCACACAGTTGTTCAGCCATCTACAGTGATGATCAAAACTGGCCACGCACTTATTACAAGCACTGCAGTGTTTGGACTTTGGCCCGCTGAAAAGAACAGAGAACCCCACCATTAGCACCACTGCTAATGATAACGTGTAGCTGTGAGGAGCTCTTAGCAGGGATGATTAGGGAAGTGGAGCATGCTGGCTGCCCTCTGCTATCACCATATGTTGCAGAGAGACCCACGTCTCACTAGTCTTTCCTTTCAGCCTGTAATTATGGTTCAGTGATCATTAATTTGCATGTGCAGGAACCTTATCTAACCCTGCTGGTACACCAGATTTATCTTCTGAACTGGTTTACTTTCACTTACAGCCTTTTATTGGAGCAGAAAGAGAAATGAGTACTCTGCAATACAAGCACTAACATTATTAGAAACAAGAAATAATTAAGAAAAAAGTGTAAAATGCATTCTTTCAAGTTCAAGATCAGATTCAGTGTTTTTTTCATAATTAAACTGAAGGCAAATTACCTGATTACTCTAAAGACAACCACACATCGCATTACATAGCAAGTGCAGCAATAATGATTAACCTTTGTCTGTCTTAAAGGGAAATGCAACTGATTTTTCTAAATATCTGTATAGTTAAGTCATTAAGATGTGAACAAAGTCATTCAGAGTGGTTTGATGTGAAATGCTCCGTTCAAGAGAAACATACAAAGTCAGAACTGTTTACAGTGGTGGTGATGGGAACCAGACATCCGAAGAGTTTAATACTTCTAAAAGCTACCTCGCAGAATGCTTTTACAAGAAATGGGTCTTAATACATTGCCTGGTGCCTGAGACATTGTTTTTTAATAGTTGTGAGATACGTGTTTGGCCTAGAACATACTTTTAAAATACATACAGGGTGGAGTGATACAGGCAGGGGGTTGTAAGTTAAACAGTCCTCAAAAGTTAAAACTGATACCCTCCTACTCTGTATGTTCCCACTCACATTTATCCTAAAATTTCTCATAGTTGTCCTCATAGGCTCTTGTTACGAGATCACATCTGGCCCTCTGAGACTAGGCAAAACAGATTTTTACTACTGTTTTATTAATCATCGACAATTCATATAAAATTCATGGTTTGACTGGTCGTTTTGGACAGTGACTAAAAGACATTGTAATCCCTGGTTCCTATCACCATCAATGTAAAGAAACCTGAGTGCATAAGTTTCTATACACTGCACCACTTCACATCAATCCACTGTGAATGACGCTGTTTACATCTAAATGACTGAGTTATGCAGAATTTTTGAAAAATCACTGGAATTTCCCATTATAGACTTCAGACTGGCTGCAGTTCTCAGTGTAAATTTCAAGCCACATCAACTATGGCTGTGTGGTATCGTTCTAGGTTTCATTCAGTGCAGCAATAGCAAACAAATTAGTGGTACTCTTTTACAGTCAGAGAAACGAGCAGTGCTGGAACTCACAGAGTGGTGAATGTCAGCAGCAGTGTGTGCACCTTCATTAAAAACAATGGTTTGAATTTTTGAACACTGCGTAATTTTTGTTTCTTAGCATCAACAGTTTACAGTAACATCATCAGTCACACAAAATCCTAATTAAATCCTAATTAAAGCCTAATATTAAAAAACATTCTCCATTATTTCTGTGTGTCTGCATTGTAATTTTAAGCATCTACATACATTTATAGTACGTAACTGCCTCTCTCAGCGCGTCGGTTCTTGGTTCTGGAGTTAATGAACAAAAAAATGCTCAACACCTTGCATACTTACACATCCACCTCACAGAGGTAGCAGTGGCAGTTCTCAATCACGTGTGCATGCTTGGTGCGGTCAAACACAGGAACTGGTCCTTTGTAGCTCTTCGCTCTAACATTGTAGTCAGCAGGGTCGATAGAGACCGCCGTCAGGTGCACAAATAGGTGGCACACAAATGTAATGCCCGTACACTGAACAATGAGTTAAAGCCTTGTAACTGCATGGGGTTACATGGGGCACAGTGAGTAAAAAAGCCTGTACAGTTGCACAGAAACACTCAATCAGGATGAACTCACACTCCTTCAAATACATTAGCCAGTCAGTAAATTTACTTCCAAACTGACTACCACACAACGTTTGTTCCCCACTTATAACTTTATGAAAGTCAAAATTAAACTTCTTAAACACTCCCCATCTACAGAAACAGATTGAGCTGGCAAATATTTTGTAGCTACAAACTCAGAAAATAACTATAATACTTCAACCAAAGTTCAACACAAAGGATACGATATACCCCGCTGGGATCCAATGGGATGGCAACAGGGGGACAAACACTCCAAAGCCTGTGACTGCAAAGTAAAGGTAAAGGAGCCAAGCCAGCAGCTGGAAGGGGTGCGGAGGCCAGCTCCAACCATTCGTCCGAGAGCACAGTGGTAGGTCGCCTCGTCTGGGCTGCCCATCGCTGACCGGGGCAGTGCGGTTTGGGTTCCTACCGCAGATGTCCATGGGAGACCAGAGCAGACCTTCCCCCACCACTGACACAGTGCTGCAATACAACAGATCATTTCTTTAAATGAAGCAGACCGAGAAATGCATTCATGCATCCTTTTAACTTTAAAAAAATCTATGTTTAGGTTTTGAATAAGTCAAAGTACAGTGTTCTCTTGTAATCTGTAAGAAGCACTGCAACACGGAAGCTGTGCTCTTAAGCCAATTTAACCATGTTTGCTGTTAAAGGGGAATGAATTCTGGCCTAAAACTAGCATTTAATATAGTATTTGTTAGATGATGTAATATTCTGTAGTGCAGTACTGCATCCCTCATGTTCTTCAGTTTGACAGAATTCACGATTTTGTTTCTTTTTGTGCTTTTGTCAAACAACGTTTTCTGATTAACAACACACCCTAACTACAGCATGCAAGCAAATACGTCAAACAACCACTGGGAATCCCTTCTATGACAATAAAGATATGCTGACTGTTTGAGTAGTTTTTGATGTACAGGTTAACAAATACAGATGTGATATTTGGCTTACTGGCTGTACTGTTAGCTCTCTGGCTTTCTTCTACACCAGTTAGCTATCAGAAAAAACTGGCAGCCCACAGGTATTCGCCCCAAAGCCTCTGTAATCTTTAAGAAGTTCCTTCCACCTTCAAGATACATCATCAGAAGGGTGTTTTCCTAGTCTTTAAACTGGAAAATACAGTTTACACTACTGCAGCACTGTTGCAGGAGTGCATATGTGTACAGCATATATAGTAATGGTCATTTTTTTTATGCTGACCGAAATGAATCTTTAAATATCACTTTTTTATACTATGAATAAAATGATTACTAGTATCATCAACAACAATAACAATAACAATAATAACAACAATAAATAAATAATTTATTGCCACAAGAGGAGGACAATGCAAATAATGTTTTTTAATGACAGTTTACAGACAGTTCTGATGTACGGCCATATATGCACATATATCATAAAGGGTCAGGCATATGGTTCAAAATATACATACATTTATGTTATGTATATATACACATCAGTATTAAATACTGGGCATAAACGCGTAATACATGAATTATACATATGTTTGACAAGTAGGTGAACACATGCATAATAAATGGATCCCATATATCCTGTCTGATATAGATGTGTGATTTTTAGATCATACATATATGTCTGATACAAACACAGAAAGACTTTTTTTAAAAATCAAAACATCCAAATATCCATAACACATGGCTCCTACATATATTAAATATTGTTAAATATATGTTACACATATGTTTATTTACGTTGATATGTGACTAAAATATGTCCCATATTTGAAACCACTTCATATAAGTTGGTATGTATGTGACATATATGTCCACGTGTGACTAATATAAGTTGGATATAAATCCATACATGCTAATAAAACATATATCTGAAATTTATATTTTGTCATGTATCGGATTTCTCTATTGGCTTAGATAATAAGCATCGCAGGATTTATAAAAAAAAACAGCTGTAGGTCCATTAAAAAAATCAAAACAAACAACTCTTTGGCTAGCAATAAAATAAAACTATAAAACTCACCTATTCAGTTACTGATCGATGTCTGTCCATTCGAGTGACCCTAAGTCAGTCCACCACGTCTCGGTCCACCGCATCCGCATCTCCTACCGCTCCGTTAACCGACTCCTCTCACTCATTAAAGCAACTGCCAGCTACGCAGCAGCTACAGGGACACACTCCGCATAGCTCGCCCGTTTCTTCCTCCCTTTCTGAAGCAGTTAACAATAGCTGCTAGACAGCTTTTCCATGGTCAGGCGTTAGTCCTTCGTGGCATTAACACCTGACACACTTAACGGTGACCATTCTGTTGGAACAAAGACGCTAAATCTGGCATGGCAGCAGCAGTTTAATGGTAGTTGCTAGCCAGCTAGCCAGACAGTTCACAAAACTCAAGCGGGAGCAGCAGCTAATCTCGACAGTCACCCAGCGGCGTAATTAAAGACGTTTAAATAGCAACAAACTCCGAACAAAGACGTGCTAATGATAATTAGTTATATGCCTCTTAAACAGTCATTCACAGTATTTCACTGCTCTGGCTCACATTAGACTACACTGCTAACGCTAGCAAACAAATCCTCGTTCAAACGGACCGAGAGCCGAGATGATACTAATGATACCCTGCAACCTGCTTAGAATAACATAAAAAATCACCTCTACTGCTCATGGAAATATTCATCTCCATGTTTTGACGACTAAAGCCCCACCGCGCCGGGTCCGCATATAAACTTGGGTGAAAATCCCGCTCGAGCACGATTTTTTTGACATAACCACCAACAATATCAACCTCAAATCAGCTGGACCAGGATAATTGGCATGAATGGGATCTGAGCAGCGTACACACATCCGGGGAATCCATGACGGCATCACCACTTCAGAATAAAAGCATATGTTCTTGACGTATGAATCCATCACACACTAACAAACGTTTGCTTTTCCATGTTGAGGAGTTTTCTTTACACCAGTAGGCTAAAACCCAACCGTGTTGAGAGTACTGATCGGACCAAAGTCCATATCTAAATACCTTCACATATAGGTTAGGGGTAAGGAGGTTCTTGCATCAATAATATTTTATTAATACTCAAACAATTCCTAGTGCAATTTAGCGTGCAAATCAATATCTAATATTATATCTTCTTTGATTTACATGTTAAATAGCTGATAGTTTTTAAATTATGTTAAAGAAAAAAAAAATTCTTCTAGACAGTAAGTTTGCCCAATTTAAGCTCTTCAGTGCTGTGGCTTAGAGTTTAAAACTGCAGTATTCTGCATTTTTGTTGTATTTTATTTTTTTCCCGATTAGGTTCCCTTATAACGTTAATGTGGTTTTATGTACCAAAAACAGTCATAATTGATTTTTGCATGACCTTTTCCAGACCTCCTTTTATCCCTTACAATGAGTTTTTTTTACTGTTCCCTTTAAGATTGATATGTGTTAACCACCTCTTCTTTGATTGGCTGCCCTGTGTTGTGTCGCGTTCAAAAAACAGTCTGAAAGACTACTTATAACTTCACCTTGAATGGGCGGGGCTAAACATTAAGCAGGCTGAATGGGCAGATATATGTAAACACATTGGAATTTTGTGACATTACCAAAATAGTCAATTCAAACTGGGCTGTTTTTGCAGCTCAGTTTTCATCTATGGACCATATGGACCGGCTAGTGAATGGCACATTTTGAAACTTTAACAATGTCTACGTACTACATTAAAATCGTTTATTTAAAAAATAAGATAAAATGTTTTTCCACGATATCAGCCCTTTAAATTGAACACCCCTCCCCTCTTGGGCAGTCTATGCAAACTTATACAGACACAAAATAGACTTTATCGTAGTTATACATGTTACAAACACAGTCTTCAAACCTCTGCAAAAATTTCACAGCGAGTTTATGGTTTCATACCTTCAGCCATGTTGCATCACATGTGGCAGTCCAGCAGAGGGCAGCAACATAATGGCCATAATTTTGCCGATGAAAGTCCTGACCATGATGATTCCAGCAAAGTCTGATCAGACCTTGTGCTTAAATTTTAACCACAGATCAAATGTGAACACGTTAAACAAGAGTGACCAACTTTTTCCCACTATAGCGAGATCATTTATAATACTCATCAAAATGCAAGGATGTGCTTGTATGTTGTATTTGGATATATAAACTTCGTAAGTGTATTTTTTCCAAAAGTTAGTATGTTCAAGAAACATATTTGGTCAGACTGTCCAAGGTGGAAAAACGTGACTTGAATCATGTGTGCACACTTCCTAAAAATTGCTTTTATTTTGTGGGAAAGAACAGCAAATTTGGTTTAGAATGGTTTCTAAGAAGAGTTTTCTCAGAGGGAAGCTTTACTTGTTATGATTCATGGAACAGTGAGTTATTCCTACGGAATATTGTAAAGTTTTTCAGAGGTATACTGGGCATAGTTACAGTTGCTAGGTTATGAAGGGCCACCTGGGTGAACCAATTTGCTACAGTGCCACCCTGAGGCAGGGCAGCGGTGCAGCTCTAGTTAGTAAAGAATACCGAAGACAGAAGCTCACCGCTTGTGCTATTTTTTCCCAACAAACAGCAAAACTTCATAATAAGGTTCTATTGGTCCATTCCTCATGAAATTTTAGCACGTTGTAAAGGGTATCTTGCATTTTCAAATTCTGTAAAAAAGCACAAAATGACAAAAATGAAGATAGGAGGTTTTGTTTTCCGATGGCAGTGAAACCATACCCAAAGTTCAAGGGGTTTACAGAAGATGTCAAGTATCTGGAAGAGCACATGGAAGAATGAATCAGCATGAGAAAAAAAAGAGAGAAAGAAAAAAAAAAAGGAGTTCAGATAATTTACATCTTCTGTGACTTGGATTAGCACTTGTGGGCACTGCTGTAATGGAATGTGTTAAAGGAACAAAAGCAACATGTGTTCTTGTCTCTTAGGCACGGCTCATCTCCTATTGGGCCCGATCTACTGCATGCCTGAGGTTGTGCTTGGAATGGAAGCTAAATGTTTGCAATGGCTCGATTTATTTAACTTCATAATTGCCTTTACAAGTCTCATATAATGTGCATAAAGGATGCATTGTACGAAATGGTCCAGAATGGTCTTTTGTAGTTGCCTTTCTTTTCCAGAGGTGTTTAAGGTCTGTGCAAAAAAATAGAGACGCATGCCATTTCCTGGTAATTATTTTTCCAATGATTTCAGACCACATGAGAGCGAGGTTTGACTAGGGACATGTGTTTTTAGTCAGTGTGGCTTTTTTTTTCCCCCTTTGACCCCCCTCTGTGTTCACTGGGGCGAGGACCCATGGCCGTCCCTCTCATTTTCATGTGGCATTGGAGGCAATATCCCTGGCTGGGCAGAAATGAACCATTACAACCCATCATTCAGAACTGGCTAAGCTTTTCTCTCTCCTTTATTGCTTGCACTCCGATTCTAAACTAAAACTGGTGCAGCCCCTGCCAATGACTTCTCTTCTGGAAGTGGAAGGGCAGAAAACCAGCCGGTGACAGATTTGCAGAGGGTCAGTGAGGAAAAATAGAGTCCTTCTGCTTCAGTACTGTTTTTAACACGCCCCCGTTGACTTGGCCTTGTCATTTCCCTTTGGAATCTCTGACACCTTCTTAAATATCAATACTCTGCTTTATCAGGAAGTGAATTTTGTCAAATGATCCCCTGTAGGGGAGAGGAGTCAAGTCAGCATAAATGTTGATTTCAGCCGCATAACTTGCCCAGATTTCACTGCAATCTGATGCATTTTCCTTTTCAATCTTACATAAATGGTGGACAAAGCCGTTCATAAGCCAAGACAATAAAATTCTGTAAAATATTTAATATTTCAAGAGAATCTCATTCAGTTTGCTACATTTAATCTGGCCTTGATGTTTACTCATGACTGATGTTGCAGCTTATCCTGCTACAAAAGCCAGCATAAGCCAGCAGGCCATCAGTAAAACCATATGTTGTGTTTTGGATGCTGGTATTACCATACAGGGTGACCAGCTAAACCAGCCCCAGGCCAGCATAAACCAGTTTAGACCAGCTTGGAATTCATGCTGGTCTGTGTTTTTTTTTCAGCAGGGTACTTTACTCTGCTAGCTTACTGCTAAGTACTGTGCAGCGAACAAAAAGAGGGCAAAGGAATTATTCACATAGGTCATGTACTACTTTACACTCAGTTTACATTGCAAAGTTTGCATAGCTGGCTAATTTGCTTACTGAGGGTAGCCTAGTTTAGGGCAAGTGTATTCATATTTGAAAATATGCCACTCTCTTCCCCTTGTCCTGCTAGTGGCCACTTGGGTAAAATATAGACTATGCACTTCCAAGTCTAAGTCAGCAAGGACACATTAAAAACAGTACTGCAACGGAAGGAGAGAGAGTGCACAAGAGAGACATGGGGATATGGGCCGGAGGAAGAGAGGTGAGGAATGTGACAGTGAACCCTGCCCAGGATGTCCAGCCTGTCCAGGGACCAGTGAGAACATCTGGAGCGCTCAGAGCGCTCAGCAATGCCGTTGCTCAGCGAAAGCCTTCGGTCAGGGAACACTTTGCCTTCTTCATTTGGCTGAGGAATGTCAGGCGTAGCAGGCTTGCTGTTTTAATAGTGATGCACCTGCTTCCCCCAACATCCACCATCAGCATTTTTCAGAACTTATGGGTTCAGACAGATAGCTCAGCAAGGGTCAAGTAAGTTAAAGGAGCTGGGGCAGGGATCATTATGGGGGGACGAACTTTCTGGTGAACACGTCTGCAGATGAAGCATGACATTCCATGAATGCGTTATGTAATGTTTGGACGCAGCTCAGAGCTGCTTGCATGCAGTACGGTGATTTAGCCTCCTTGACGGTGTCTGCCGACATCCTTCAGTGTCTCCCCTAAAACAATGAGCTATTTCCATCTCCATTCACAGTGCAAGAGGAAGCGGACTTCACAGGGTCTCTTTTACAGCGGCGGCCAAGGCTGACCTGGCGTAGCGCTGAGAAGGTCCAGAAAAGTGAAGTAAAGTTCAGAGGAAGAACTTGGGAACAAATAAAAAAGTGATAGTTTGGTGCTAAATTCAGGCATCTAAGTTTCCCTTAGCCCAAACATTGTTGATCAGTCAAGAAATGGTTGGTGTGTGAAGTCTACTTCTTTAGTTTTGCATGGAAACTGTGAAACTGCCTCATGCTACCAGTGGGAATGTGCTCTCTGGAGTGCTGGAGCTCCATCCACTACCTTTGTTATGAGTTGGAATGGTGTATGTGATCCAGAACTAGTCATTCAACATCAGTACCTGACCTTACTAATGCCCTGAATGCAATCAAATCCTCACAGTATGTTCCATCATCTAGTGTAAAGTCTTTACAGAAGAGTAGAGGTTGTTACTGCAGCAAAGGGTGTCAAACTCCCTATTAACGCCTTTGATTTCAGAAGAAATGTTGGATGAGCAGGTGTCTACAAACCTTTGGACATTATATCTATAAAAATGGACAAAACTATGGAAATAATTCAGGCTTCAAAATAGCTGCTAATACTGTTTTAGCTATGTATGAGATATTTGTCTATTTTAATAGATAATGGTATGGCACAGTGTCATGTCTTAGCTGACTGACAACATTTAGAGTACATTTAGAGAAAACTGTGCAAACTTGATTGAAAGTTACACCAAAGTTACGAGTTATAATCCTTCGACAGAACCGTTCATTAGTCTTAAAGGGGACCTATAAGGCATTTCTGTTTTTCCCTTCTTTTAATGTGTCATATATATAGCATTTTGTGCATGTAAACAGTCCGCAAAGTTGCAAGGCTCTCAATGTACATGCCAGAGGGAGTAACTCT